GGCTGGGGCTGGAGAGGTGGAGGCAGGCTTGGAGGGCTGGCCAGGCCTGGGGACTCTTCCCAGCCACACAGCAGAGAGTAGACGTAAGATGAGGGCCCCAGGCCACTCAGAGAAGCAAGTTTCCTGCTCCACAGGCCCCGCCAGTGAACATACCGTGTGAGCAAACACTGGTCTGCTCTACCCAGTGCTGGCGGGTGAGCAAAGGCAGGCACGCAGGCCGGGTGGGGATGGATGCCCGCCGTGACGGGAGACCCACAGGCCCTCCCACCCGGCCCTCCTTCCACCTCCTCTTTGGGCCCTGAGGAGGGCCAGGCATTCCAGCCGGAATCTGTGAATCCACGGAAGGTCAGGCTTTTCCTGGATGCATGACCTTCAAGGAACAAAGAAACCCGCCAGTGTGAGGATGGCAGCTTATCACAGGGAGCCTGGCCCGTCTGGATAGAGGGGGAGCAGGGGGTGGGGGTGAGGGGGTCTGAGAGGCCAGGAGGGAGGACTGGAGACCAGAGAAGGCCCTCCACCAGGCGCCTGCGGAGGCCCGGGCTCTTTATAAAGCTGCTCCGCACAGATGGGAAGACGGAGCCCAGCGGCTTCAACCTCTGAGGAAGCAGAGGGCTGGCCGCCCTCTCTGCCTGCTGGGAAAGAGCTTCCCTGCTCCCCTGGCCAGACCCAGTGCCAGCTCCAGTCCCGGCCATTGTTCCGGCTTCCTGGTCAACCGCAGCGGGTGGGAGCCAGAGCCCCAGGCTCCAGTGGCTGGAGCTGGAGGCCTGTGAGGTCCCAGCCCCACTGCCTGTCCCCCACCTGGCCAGCCCCCCGCAGTGCCAGGCTATTTTTATCACTAACTGCATGGCCTTGGGCAGCCCCTGGATATCTCAAGGGTCTGCCCTGCCCATCTCACGGAGATGGCACGAGGCTCAGGCCAGCTGGGGGGTCGGACAGGTCTTGGGAACAGGGTGTCAGAGGGGAGTGGGACACCCCTGACACTCAGATGGGAGAGCTAGGCCGGCTCCCTCTCTCCTCAGCCCTCCCCGTGCTCTGCTTTCCTGAGTGCCCACTCCGTGCCAAACACTGCACACAGTGAGGGCAATGTCACCTCACCGTGCCCTCGCCCTAAGCCCAGGGGAGAGCATTACTGGCTCCATTTCACAGATGAGGAAAATGAGGCTCAGAAAGTCCAACAACCTGGCCCTGATGGGCGACAGCGGCGGGACACCAGCCAGCTGTGACTGTGTGCTCTTCACCGCGCCATCGCGCCACCACGCCACTGCCACCGCGCCACCACGCCACCACGCCACTGCCACTGCGCCACCACGCCACCACGCCACTGCCACTGCGCCACCACGCCACCACGCCACTGCCACTGCGCCACCACGCCACCACGCCACTGCCACTGCGCCACCACGCCACCACGCCACTGCCACTGCGCCACCACGCCACCACGCCACTGCCACTGCGCCACCACGCCACCACGCCACTGCCACTGCGCCACCACGCCACCACGCCACTGCCACCACAGCTCATGAGCTCAGGGTCCCCTCCCACTGTCCCCTGTGGGGCCGAGCACAGAGCCAGCCACACGGTGGCAGTTTGACAGAGCTGCCTGGATGATGGCTCCCAAGGGAAGTTGTCTTTGGTGGCCCTGCCTGCCCCGGCGATGACCTGCGGACCCTGGGAGAACGCCCCCACCCCCAGGGCAGTGCCTCTCCCCCAGCCAGCGGGAATTGCTAACTCCAAAAGGTAGAGTTTTATGTCAGCCTCCCCCTCTCGCTCCTCCCAGCTCTGGCTCTCATCCGGATGTCCTCCCCCCCACAAGGCACCGCCCTCTTGCCCTACCAGCAGTGGTTGGGGCAAAGGGAATGATCACCCAGAGACTAAAGAAGACAGCGCTAGTTTGCCACCCTGGTCACAATGTCTGAAGTTCCCCCGTGAAAATGCTACGCTGTTTCTGCTGAGGGCCATTTGGATATTTATATCACCATTTGCTTAATATAATTCACTTAATATAAATTTATGTTGCTATAAAAGAAAGCTGCTAACTTATTGAATTTTGAGTCCCGCATGCAGTTGCCTTGGCAGGGCCAGACCAAATGGTTTCCCAGGCCTTCTACGGCCCACGGGCCGGACATCCCCCACCCCTGCTCTAGGAGGAGGAGAGTCGCATCAGATACAGGACAGGTGAGAGAGGTACCTGTGTGTGTGGCCAGGTGCGTTACGCAGCTGCGTAAGCCCGTTTGTGCCGTTCCTGTCACTTACAACCAAGAGAACACAGACTGAGACAGGCGGGCAGCAGGCTGGAGGCCAGAAGAGACGCGGAGGGAAAAGGAGATATGGATCGATCCTGTCACCTTCCCAGAATCAGAGCCTTGGGTCTCTAAGGGCCTTTGGAGATCAGGGGTCAAGACTTCTGCTTCAGATGGAGAATTAAGGCCCCGAGAGGGGCAGAGAAAGGCCTGTGGTCCCTTGTTAGCAAAGGGCTAGGACTTGAAACTGAGCCTCCGGGCCTCATTCCCGGCCCTGGTTGGGCCCAGGCTGGAGCGCAGAGGCTGAGGGCCAGGTGGGAGCTGAAGGGGCCTCGGTGGTTTGTGAAGGGAAGCAGGGGTAGTGACAAAGGAAGAAAAGGTCATTGCAGGCTCCACGTGGCCTCAGCCATTCCCAGCCGGGGCTGCTCCTACCTCTGGTGCACGCAGACCATCCTCTGTTCAGGAAGGAGAACCTGAAGCTATAAATCACCAGGCACATGCCAGTGCTTTCCAGGCATCTCTGGGGGGTGGCTGGGGTTTGCCTGAGCTCATGCAGCTACAGGGGAAGCCGGGATCCGAGCCTGGCTCAGGCACCAAGGACCAGGTGTCCTCTAGCTGAGTGGTGGCCGGCGGCAGAGGAACCGCATGGTTTCTCAGTCTCGGGGGCGGGGTCCTCCTGTGGCCGCACACAGAGGAAATAGAGAAGTGTGAGGTCCGGGTCATATCTGGGGTCCCCCCCCAAGCCTTTCCACTAAGCCTTCTGTACCCATTTTTGAGCCCCTGCATTGTGGGCAGCTCCCTGTCTTCTTGATTTTCTAGCCTCAATTCCCACCCCCAGGACAGCGTGTCTTTGCTGACCGCCCTCCACTGGCTCTCAGATGCCCCAACATAGGGAGGTTGTTTCACCCTCTCTATCCCCACCTCTGCCCTTGCCTTTGAGAAATGGAAGAAGCTTGAGCTGGAGTTGGGCCGCTGGGAGGCAGGGATGGGGTGCAGGAGAAAGGGGGTGTAGGAGGGCTGAGATGGGAGGCGGCTGGGTTGGGCATGCAGACGGATCACAGGGCGAGTGGAAGCAGGTGGGAGCAGGCACTCCTCTGGGTCCGTCGCTGCTCTCGGCAGGCGCTGGTTTTCCACTGGGGCTGAGCAAGCGGCTTCTGACCATCCATGACCTGCTCGTCCTCGCGACCCAGGGCTGCAGGGCCATTTCTGAGGGTCCCAGGTATCCTGCAATTGGTATTGTCAGCATCTTCACAGCTCCCCCACCAGGGCCTCCATACACGACTCCATGTAATTCTCACAACAGCCAAGCAAGGGAAGGGTTAACCTCCCCATTCTTCAGATGAGTCCCCAACGAGGGAGTTTCCGCAGTGACTTGCCCAGTCCCACAACCACAAGGTTCAAAACTCGAACCCAGCCTATGTCCCAGGCTCAAGCCTGCCACCCTGGCCCGCACCCCTCTCTCCCTCTCCACGTCCCGTCATGCCCCCGTGGAAGAACGACCAGAACACGCAGCGCTGGGGTCTGTGATGGGCAATGTCTTTACTTCTAAAGCATACATTGGACTCACTATATATTAACATCCAAAGGGGCTATCTAAAATGGAGACGTTCTTTTTAAAAATCCAAATTCTCACATTTTTATATAAGATTCAAAATGACATGAAATTAAAATATACGATGTTATGAAGAGTATAACAATAGCTTTTAGAAAGCAAAAGGAAAAGAAAAAAAAAGTAGCAGTTGGGACTGTTGTCAGCCTGGGGTCAATGTCTTTTGAGGCATTGAGACTGTCTTTTGGGGCCGGCCCTTCCTGGGGGTCGGCCCAGCCCCACGGGAAGGGAACCCGGTCAGATGGAGGAGGTGGATGTGCTTTTCAGACGTGTTAAGGGAGAGTGGGTTGGGGGGGAGGGGGCTCCCTGCTCCTCTAGGTCCTTGGTGCATTGATGAAAGTCTTCTTTTAAGACCCATGACCAGGGAAGGGGGCTGGAAGAGGCGGGGGCAGAGCTGGGGCCTAAATACTCATTTCCATGATAAAGGTCCTCTGGGCTTCCCAAGGGCCCCGGGCCTCCAGTGACATCAGTGGACTCCATCCACCTACTGATTTCCTTAACCCCCTTTCCCGCCTGCTCCCTCTGCCGACACCGCGGCTCCACGAGCAATGCGGGCAGCCAGAGACAGGGAGGGTGCAGGAGGACCCAAGGGAGAACTCCCTGGCCTTGGAAGTAGCTGGATGTCATCCAGGGCATCTGGGCAATGCGAGATCGCTGCGGTCCCTGATAGGGGAGGGCTCCCAGGGGCTGGCCATTCGCACGGTCCTTTCACCTGCCCCGCCCTGGGTACACAGGCCTGGTCTGGGCCCTGACGCAGGGCCGGGAGCTGATTGAGGCCACACCCTTGACACTGTGGTTCACACAATTCAAGGGGGAGGACACTTGTCCACAACCACTGGGAAGGTCATGGGCGTGGCCCAGGCACGAGGTGGCCTAACAATCCCCCCGGCACATCGGCAGCTCTGTCTGGCTGAGAGCACACTCCCCAGCAGAGCTCGGAACCAGGCGGCAAAGGTGGGAGGGGCGCTTCTAAAGTATCGGGATTAGGCCTCCTGCCTTTCCTCCTTTCCCTGTAGACGGCACTGTCCTGGGCCCTGTCCCTGGCTGAGTGTCCTCCCCTGGGGACTTCCCGGCCTCCTCCCTCTGGCCAGGCCGATTGCTCTCCAGGCAGACCCAGCCCACAGGTGTGCGGGCCGCTTATCCATCTCACCTGTCAGAAACCCCTGGCCGGGGCAGACAGAGAGGCCTGCGGCTCACGGTGTGCCCTCCTGGTCCCCAAGACTAATCACGAGGCCGGCCTTCTCCCTCAAACAGCAACTTGAAGGAGGGTGCCCTCCACCCAGCCCACCTCTGGAGTCCAGCCCTTCGCCCAGGCCCTACCGTGACTGTCCTCTTTCCTAACCATCTGGTTTCTAATTAGGCTACAAGGTTTGGGAAGGTCGGGCTGGCACCAACCCCTCTTTGGGGTGGAGAGAGGCCACCTGACTTGCAGTCTGGTTCCAGGCCACAAAGACAAGGGAAGCCGATGGCTCCCGAGAAAACGAATCCTCTCCTGGGAAAGAGGTTTGTGGAGTCGGGACCAGCCAGGGCAATCTGGCTCCCCCTCCTCCGGGCAGGTTCCAGAAGTGCCAGGCCTCTCCACCTGCCCAGTGCTCTCCTGTCCTCCTGCCCAGAGCCTCTGAACATGGATGGAGCTGGGTGGA